AGGGGTTGGGAATATGCTTAACTTCTATCAGTCAGTTATGGGTGCAAGAGGCAAGCAAGCCTTGCCTCACCTCATCCTCCAATCCAGGGCTAAAATCCAGCAGGTTTTGAGAGGTTCTGGGGGAACCAGTAGCGGAAATTTTAAGTAGCTCGGAGAACCAGCAAATGCCACCTCTGGCTGGTCCCAGAGTGGGGTGGGAATGGAGATTTTGCAATATCCTTCCCCTGCCACTCCTACCAAGCCACTTCCACCAAACCACAGAACCGGTAGTAAAAAAATTTGAATTTCACCACTGCTTCAATCAATCACTGGGCATTGTTCTAGAAAGGTCTACTGAAACTCTGTTTAAGTAGAAGTTCAATACTACACTTCTTTTCATCTGGTTGTTGATTTCTGTTCCCCAGATAACGTTACTTAGGTTAGTGTTTTTATCAGTGGTGGGATTCAAGTAATTTAACAACCGGTTCTCTGCCCTAATGATTTCTTCCAACAACCAGTTTGCCAAACTGCTCAGAAAGTTAACAACCGGTTCTCCCGAAGTGGTGCGAACTGGCTGAATCCCACCATTGGTTTTTATTGTTGTTTTTATAAACCTTGCATAAATCAAGCTGCCCATAGTCATTTGGAAATGGGTGGCCTAGAAAGCTGATCAGTAAGAAATAAATCTTATACCGTATGTACAAACTAGAAAGAATGTCATCTTAATTTGGGGGTTTTGTTTTGTTTTGGGCAAATAAATGTATGTGCTTATGATGCATTTAACCTGCTTCTTCTATATTTACCTGATTGCATATAGTTAAATAACTTTTCTGTTGTACCATCTTGCATTTATTTCCATTCTCCTCTATTCCATACCAATCTACCTTTTGATCCCTCCATCATAAAATATAGTTTTTGAAGATTATTCTTCTTAAAGAAAAAAAATGAACTAAAGCAGTAGAAATGGAGCTGTGGGTAAAGGCAACAGGAAGGCAAAAGGAAGCAAAAACAGAGTCGCTTTATTATTTATAGCAGCACAGAATCCAAAAGTGTTCTGTAGAACTTTCTTGGACACAGGTATAACTGAATGCCAATCACAGAAGGACCAAAACAAGAAGAAATGTCACTCCTTGAATAGCAAAGGTAATTTGTACATTGGAGGTATTGTTGCAAACTGGGAAACTGGGAATCCCAGCTCTGTAAACATTTTTTTTCCTTACTCTCAGATCACATTACCAAAAGGAAGTTTTCTTTGATAGTACAGCCATGTGAATAAATGAACCTATTTGGAAGAGAAACCAAAGATTTATTTTAGCCACAGAGAACAGGGATCCATTCTCAAAACATTCCTTTTCCCAAAAAATCCTCCTTTTTGTATTCATCTCAGCATTGTTCACCGATAGCAAAAAATTATTGTAATAACAAAAAGAAGGGAGGATGAAACTTGCATTGAATATGGAGAGCCCCATATAACCTCAAAGACATTGTGGGAACATGCCATTATAATATAAGCATTTTTAATATCATAGTTTCTGGGTCCTGATTCTCAAATTCCTCATTAGATTATTTTAAAGGACAGCAATTCTAACTATAATTAGGCCACTTAAAATCTCACTGGAATTAATGGCATTTATTTAGCCTTATGTAGGATTTTAGCCAAAGCAAAAAAGGAGATTAAATAGGTCAGTTTATTTAGTCATGACGAGCCTTTCTTATGAATGCCCTCAAAAGGTAACAAGTAGACTTCACTAATATGCTATACCATTGTGGAAACTAACCAATAGAATGCAAAAATAAAAGTGTTCATAAGAAATAATCTATAAATAAGGCTGCCAAATTTGGTGCAGAACAATCTAGACAACAACTAGATGGCAACAAAAGAAGACCATTTTCTAAAGTCTTTTGGATTTTTGGAGCCCAGCTATGATAACCTAATAAAAATAAAATTTAAGAAGTTAAAATAATATTTTAATAATTTGTACCAGCATTGTTCAACATAATGTCTCCAGATTTATCAAGATTACAATACCTAGAGCTCTATGATGGTTGGCCATTTTGAACAGCACCATGTACAGAAGAATCTATACGGTTAGATCCCGGCTTATTTTGGAACTACATAGAAGACTACATAGAAGGTGAATTAAGAATTTGGGTTTAAGAGTAGCTTTGAACTGGAAAAGAAAGAAAAAGGAAGGAAGGAAGGAAGGAAGGAAGGAAGGAAGGAAGGAAGGAAGGAAGGAAGGAAGGAAGGAAGGAAGGAAGGAAGGAAGGGGGAGGAGGAGGAGGAGGAAGAGGAGGAGGAGGAGGAAGAGAAGGAGGAGGAGGAGAGGAGGTTTGCAAATGCTCAGCATTCCTTCCATTCAGTTTTATTACATTAGCTGTCATCTCACCAAGGAAACCAAATAGGTATCACAACCAGATAAACTAATTCCACTTTTTTATAAGGCTACATTGACAGAATCATGCAAGTCTGAAAGTTCAATTCTCCCCCATCTCCTTTCCAGCCCAAGAAACTAGGGAAGGTCTCTTCTGAGTCTCTTGCTCTGCCTATCATGTAGCTGTGAGCTTGTATGACTATTATCTGACCACTCTCTCCGCAGTCTTTTTGCTTGGTCTCCCAGGTCTTTCCCAGGTCTTTCCTAGGTCACCAGAATGCCCTATATTTTTACACTTACAAGGCAAATGTTTAGCCTTCAGCACAATGATATTTTTTTTTCAGAAATGACTATTAAGTAGACTGCAACCTTCTTTCTTTAAAAAGTACCTTTATGGTATCTTCTGCAACATGGTGGCAATAAAGCAGGTAAACCTGGATAGAATATAACTTGTGTAATCTGATAATATAAGAACTCTTTGGAAACCCAGTTTATTGAAAAGATGGTAAAATGTCCCTTCTAACTAGAAAGGGATAAATGAACAATGTAACCCAGCAATATGACTGAATATACAAGATATATATATGTGTTTGTGAGCCCTCTAGTGGGCAGAAAAATATGTGGAGTTAACTCGGTGTTGCTCTGAGATAATTTCTTCATTGGTGATTTATAACAATTTACTATGCTGGTATAAAAATTCTCTAGTCATTAGCAAATTTTAACTAGCCTCCAAACTTGTATTGGTCTTAAGCATGACTCAATTCTAGGAAGAAGCCACTGAAATAGTTGGTGGGTCTTTCTTGACTTAAAGGTGCAATTTCCTCTTTATACCCACCACAGTTTCATTCTGCTGCTGCTTTCATCCCTCTGGTGGTTTAACACATTGCTCTTTACGTCTTGATCTTTTTATTGGCTGACATCTTTGTTCCAACATTCTGCCACAAGAAACCGGTTCTCGTCTTTTAGCTATCATATGGACAGCAGATTAAGATGCTATTTCAACTGGTAATATGGAAAGAGAAATGGCTATAGCCACTGGGGGATCCACATAGGAAGAGGACTTCAAGGAAATCAAGATGGTGATTGTGTCTCAATGCTCAAGCCCCTTTCTCCTTTTTATGTCCCTTGTAGCACGACACATGTAAAAACGTGTGGAGCTTCAACTGTGCATTCACAGTCGCCATCTTGCCTTTTTTAACTCCCTCTGCAGATGCCCCTGGACCCATGGGTAACCAAATTAACTAAATAGCTAAGGCCTCTCCATCCCATTTTATTGAACAGGAAGCCAATGGAATAGGTAGCCTAGAAGGAGCTTGCCATGTTGTATTCCTAAGGTAGAGAAGGAAGATGCCATCCTCTCTGAAACAAATTTGCCCATTTTCACTCAGCTGCCCACCCAATGAAACTGGCATGATGCCTTCTCTGCTAATGGAGACACTAATTGCATGGGAAGGCATTTTACAGGAGCCTTTTTGGGGAAAAAAAAAAACCAACAACCCTAAGTTAGTCAGATAAATAGATGCAGCAGTATGATCCATGATGGCCATAATGGTTAATTTGGTCTTCAAATGACCAGCATTAAATTTTCTGAATGGTTGCAAGCATTCATACGTATATGCTCCAAATTGATAACAGACTTGGCAGTATAGCACTGCTTGCTTTACTGAAGTCCTTCTGAACTACGGTAAATAACATGTAGACAGCGTGGCAGTTTCATGAATATGACAAAAAATATTAACTTTTTCTATTTGCAGATAGAGAGGAGACTGAATAAAGATGCTTTAATGTCTGGTTTTCTCAAGGATATGAAATGCTTAAGATAAGCAAAGGTGCCAGGAGGCAGAGGAGTACTGAAAAATCCTTCCAAAAACAGACCAACTCCATGGATGGCAGAAATACTATAGAGCTTAGCGTAGTCACCATATAACAAACGGACTATAACTTTGAAAACATAAGCATTTCAAAGGCAAAACTGGAGGGTTTTTTTTTGTTTTGTTTTTTGATTTATATGCCGCCCTTCTCCAAAGACTCAGGGCGGCTTACAATGTGCTCAGCAATAGTTGTCTTTGTTAATGGAAATGATGGGAGTGGAAGACACATAAATCAATTTACATTTAGAATGACTTTTGTTTCATCAAAATTGTCCGTGCAGAATCATCACTCGCCCAATTAATAAGAGTTGTCTAGAGAATCTCTTCATTGTATATGATGATATTCTCAAAATGGAGCTGAAGGAGCAGCCACACATCAAACATTTTATCTTCATGTATGTAGGCAGGACATTTTAGGAAACTCATATTTCTTTTATTAATGCAACTTTTTCTCGGAATAAAGACCTAAATATGATGTTTTACTTGGTTCAATAGCCTTGTCCTACAATTTTTACTCAGCAACCAAAACCACATCTCTCACACACACACAGTTAAATGCAAACATGAAAACATAACAAGTATTCTCTCATATCTTTTGTTTTCCACCTCAATAACCATGTTAGTTAAGTATGACAAAGTCTTCATACTAGAAATGAAAAAGAAAATAACTTTGAACGTCTTAGTAATGTTCCAGTTTCACAATGTGTAAAAGAACACCCTTTATAGGATGAAACAAGCAACCACTTCCTTACCATCCTCAGTATATATACATTCTGTACTTTGATGTGGAGAAACACAAAAAAGCAAAGATGGTCCTTCTAATGGGCTTGTGGTTCACTGTTGTGATTTTTCTCCTCGGCATTCCCAGAGGTAAGTGCTAAATTATACTACTTTTTTTGTTGTTCGTTTCTTTTCATTTCTGATAATGTCACTTCAGAACAATCAATGAAAGGGTAAGCAGATAAGCTACACAGTTTGTTCCAAATGTATGGCTTTCTCCTTTAATTTGGACAGTGATGAAGAGAAAATAGCTCAAGTCTCCTTCAGGCTGAACTGATACTGACAGTAGGAGGCCAGCAGGAGATAGTCAAAGCTAAGAGGGTAGTTTTATTACAAATACTAGAAAAGCCATGAATAATGAGAAAAAGCAACTATCGTATAATTCAGGATAAATGTACTGCATATAGTTTTATATACATGCACAAACACACACATACATATCTACACACAGAAAAGGTCCAAAGTCCAAATCTGACGTCTTTTCTCCTGTTCATGCAACCTCACAGGCTGAGAATCACACAAGTCGCAGGTGTGGTTAACATCAATATACTGTTGTTGTAACAGACCAATGAGATTTTTGCCTTTGACCATATCATACCTAACCCATATAATGCCAGAGTTTAGAATTGTCTCAGGAAAGGACAACTTGAGTAAAATGCCGGGTTTATCCTTGCATACAAATTGCAGTATTTAATTAGGAAGGATTTATATTATTGCATCAAAAACCCATCGTTTCTAAGTATAAGGGCAATGTGAATAGCCCTTATCAGTAAGAATAAGTTCACTCCTTTTGTGTTGCTTTTTCCCTTTGGGTCTCTGCAGCAGAGCTGTCCTGACAGTTGTTGGCTAATCAGAGATGTGGCTACTGAATTGGTTATTGGGAAAGTGTTGGCAGAGAATACAAACCCAGATGAGAACAGGAAAAAGGAAGAAGTGTCAATGTTCCTCAGCAAAGGCCTAGATGAAGGTGGGGGGGGAGAGAGAGAGAGAGAGAGGGAGAGAGAGAGAGAAACAGGGAGAATTTTTGTTGTTGTTTTTTCTTATTTTTATTTTACTCTACAGTTGCAGGAACTGGGTATGTCCAGTTTAATGAAAAGAAGAACTAGGGGAGACATGATAGCAGTGTTTCGATATCTCAGGGGCTGCCACAAAGAAGAGGGAGTCAAGCTATTCTCCAAAACACCTGAGCGTAGGACAAGAAGCAGTCACTGGAAACTAATCGGGAGGACCCCTTGGAGGGCAGGGCTGAGGATTTTGTGCAGTATCTGCATGACAAAATCGCTCAGATTTGGAAAGCTTGGACTCTGACTGGGTAGATGCAGATGGGGTGATGGAGGCAGGTCTTGAGAGTGTTATCTGGGAGGAGTTTGACCCGGTGACCACCGATGACGTGGACAGGATTCTGGGTAGACTCAGCGCAGCCACATGTTTATTGGACCCGTGTCCCTCCTGGCTGGTGCTGGCTTCCCGGGAGGTTACATGAGGCTGGCTCCAGAGGATTATGAACGTTTCTTTGAGAGACAGTTGCTTTCCCGCCACCTTGAAAGAGGCGGTTGTGAGGCCCCTCCTCAAGAAGCGCTCCCTGGACCTGGCTGTTTTAGCAAATTATCGTCCAGTCTCCAACCTCCGCTTCATGGCGAAGGTTGTTGAGAGTGTGGTGGTGCGACAGTTCCCCCAGTACCTGGATGAAGTGGTTTATCTTGATCCGTTCCAGTCGGGCTTCAGACCTAGGTACAGCACGGAAATGGCATTGGTCACATTGGTTGATGATCTCTGGAGGGCTCGGGACAGGGGTTGTTCCTCTGTCCTGGTCCTATTAGACCTCTCAGCGGCTTTTGATAGCATCAACCATGGTATCATGCTGTGCCGGTTGGAGGGGTTAGGGGTGGGGGCATCGTGCTACGGTGGTTCTCCTCCTAACTCTCTGACCGGTCGCAGTTTGTGTTGACGGGGGGGGCAGAGGTTGACATCGAGGCGCCTTGTATGCAGGGTGCCCCAGGGGTCGGTCCTCTCACCCCTTCTGTTCAACATTTATGTGAAGCCGCTGGGTGAGATCATCCGTGGTTTCGGGGTGAAGTTCCATCAGTACGCTGATGACACTCAGCTGTACATCTCCACCCGGACCACCCCAATGATGCCCTTGACATGATGTCCCAGTGTCTGGAGGCCGTGCGGATCTGGATGGGGAGAAACAGGCTCAAGCTCAACCCATCCAGACCGAGTGGCTGTGGTTTCCGGTGTCCTGATATAGTCAGCTGGTGCCATCTCTGACTACTAGGGGTGAGTCGTTGGCCCCCACAGAGAGGGCTTGCAACTTGGGTGTCCTCCTGGACACACGGCTGTCCTTAGAAGAACATGTGATGGCTGTGGCCAGGGGGGCTTTCTATCAGGTTCGCCTGATACGCCAGTTGCGTCCCTTTCTGGATCAGGACTCCTTGCACACAGTCACTCATGCCCTTGTCACTTCCCGCCTGGACTACTGTAATGCTCTCTACATGGGGCTCCCCTTGAAGAGCACCCGGAGGCTCCAACTGGTCCAGAATGCGGCCGCACAGGTGATTATGGGAGCGTCATGGCGCTCCCATGTAACACCTCTCCTGCGTGAGCTGCTCTGGCTTCCGGTGGTCCTCCGGGTGCAATTCAAGGTGTTGGTTACGACCTTTAGAGCGCTCCATGGCTTAGGACCTGGATATCTACGAGACCGCCTTCTGCCACCGAGAACCTCCCACCGGCCAATACGCTCCACAGAGAGGGGCTCCTCGGGGTGCCGTCAGTCAAACAATATCGACTGGTGGCCCCAGAGGGAGAGCTTTCTCTGTGGGAGCACCTGACCTCTGGAACGAGCTCCACCCGGAGATACGGACGATTCCGGATCTACATACTTTCCGTCGGGCCCTCAAGACTTTTTTATTTCAACAAGCCAGGCTGGCCTAACTTTTCTAATTGTCTAATTTTAATTTTAATTTTAATTTTAAATGGGGTATTTAAATTGTTCGGCCAAATTGTTTAATATATTTTAAATTGCTTTTAAATTTTGTATTTTTATGTTTTTTATCTTTGGCTGTTCACCGCCCTGAGTCCTTCAGGAGAAGGAAGATATATAAATTTAAATATAAATAAAAAATAAAATAAATATATAATCAAGGAGAGAAGCAACTTAGAACTACGGAGAAATTTCCTGACAGTGAGAACAATTAATCAGTGGAACAACTTGCTTGCTCCAACACTGGAGGTTTTTAAGAAGATGTTGGATAACCATTTGTGTGAAGTGGTGAAGGGTTTCCTGCATAAGCAGGGGGTTGGACTAGAAGACCTCCAAGGTCCCTTCCAAATCTGTTATTCTATTCTATCTTTTCTGTGTTCCTTACTCTTTCATTCTTCTCTCTGTTCTATTTCTTTCAATATACCGATAGCATAAAATTAATAAGGCAATTATTAGATAATTCTGCATTGTATCCATCAATAAAGACATTTGATTTAAACATAAACTTAGTTTATTACATTTAATTTAAAGTTTAATTTAAAATTATTTGGTACTTAATTTTAGGAGAATCAGGCTTGCTCAATATTGTGTAGAAAGCATGCAGAACATTTAGCTTTTTAGAATAGGACTGTAAGGGTATCCTATAACTTTGTGGAGTAATGCTCTTGCAGACACATATCACAATTCATTGAGATATTCAGTATACAGCATGTCATTAAAAAATACACTTTTTACACTGAAAAGTAATCATTAAATTCAGCGATTAGCAAGCACAATAGAAGGACCCAGCAATGTCCACATTTGTATATGCTTCAAGATATGTAACTATACTTCTCCAATCTGGTGTCCTCCAGATGTAATCCCTAAAAGTCCAAGATAAGCATGCCAAAACTGGAAGTGCTACAATCTAAAGGTGTGAAATGTGTTAATAAGTGCAAAAAAAGCAAGATTGCTTTGATTGGTTGGTGATACCCCACCATAACAAACTGTGGAGCACTTTGCATGATGAAACATTCACATGTTGTGTTGGCTTCTTTTTCCTCTTTAGCTAATGGATTAATTTAAAGTTATATTTTGTGACTCGTGATTAGCTTGGCTTCTTCATTCTATTTAGATCACTGTACCCAGATCATTGGCGGAAAAGAATCAGTTCCACATTCAAGACCTTTTATGGCCAAGATCAAAGGCTCAAAACTTTGTGGGGGAAGCCTGATCAAACCAAACTGGGTATTAACAGCTGCTCACTGCCACATGTAAGTTTGGAAGTTTTGCTAGGTTTATATATATTTTTTCAAGCATAACACATCACCCTGCAGTTTAGGGATGAGCAAATCCTAAAGTATCCGGACTGGAAAGACTTTGCTATTTTTGCAAGTTCAGTTAATGTTATAATCCAATCTTCCATCGCAGATATTTCATTACTTTCCCAACCTTCTGCATACACAGTTACCATATGCAATATTGATTTCTCATACTTCTTTCTAATTCCATGATTATAAAACCCAATAGGAATAATTCTGACCCCACCCCCACCCCAAAAAAATCTAGTTTAGATGGTCAGGCTCTAGCCAGATGAAGGGCCAGAAATTGGGATAAACCAAAAAAACTTGGCAAAATAGCAGACAAGATTGTGCTGGCCTACTTATGAGCCAGAAATTGCAATCAACTTTCATAGGTGATATTAGAGAATTTTTTTGTTCTCTCAAAAGCCCTCTTCCAAATGTTTCTTTTCCATGGAGAGCAAAGCATGACATTAATAGCACACACCTCCCTGCACATTATTGGTCTTCTTGTTCTTGTGAAAATTGCATGTAATTTGACCTCCTTTTAATTTCCAGAATATCCATATATAGGTGTGAATGTTCATGTATTGTAATTTATTTTTGAACGTAGCCAGAAATAGGCCATTGAAAGTATTTTGCATCTTCTATCAAATATATACTTACTTTCACTGTTGAAATAATACTCCAATGAAAATTGAAGTAAAGCCTGCCCTCTCCAAATTTTAAATTTACATGCCAGGATATAAACAATGTTAAATACAGTCGAATTTATTTCTGAAGAAACACAGAAGATTGAACTGCCAAATCATAAAACTTAATATCCTTCAGTTGAGATTATAACGTATTATACTTGCTAGAAATGAACTTTACTCAATTCTTATTTTATCCTCTCTGCTTTTTAGAACAAAATACACTAAAGTTATTCTTGGAATTCATTCAGAAAAAGACACAACAAAACAAGTTTTCAAAGTTAATAAGTCCCATCGTCACCCGTGCTATGATAGAGGCACAAAGGAGAATGACATTATGCTTCTTCAGGTATATTCTAAAGGATGTACATAAATAATATACACATGAAGACAGCAAGAATGGTTTTTCCTTTTCTTTATGGGTACAGGGAGTCCTTAACTTACAATCACATTTGGGACTGGAATTTCCATTGATAAGCGAGGTGGTTGTTAAATAAATCATGTTGAATTTTATGACCTTTTTTTTTTGCAATGTTTGTTAAGTGACTTTTTGCAGCTGTTAAGTGAAACATTCAAATCCAGCTTTCCACCAGCAGCCCCCGACTCTGCTTGTTAGAAGCCATCTAGGAAAGCTGCAAATGGCAATCACATGACCTTAGGCTGCCGCAACCATCATAAATCCATGCCATTTGCCAAGGACCCAAATTTTGATAATGTGATCACAGGGATGCTTCAATGGTTATAAGTGTGAGAACTGGTCATAAGTCATTTTTTTGAGTGTCATCATAATCTCAAACACCAGCTAAACAAATGGTTGTAAGTTGAGGACTACCTGGATTTGAGATTGTTGAGACTGTTGAGATCATTGTTCAGATGTGTGGTTTGTTTTAATTGTATAGATTTTTATATGTATGGCTAAAGCCGCTGTTATACGGAGGGGGGGGGGCGAAACTCAGCTAGCCTGCTACTAGCTGCCATGGGGGTGGGGTCAGTGGAGAATTTTTCATTACAGCTTTGCAACTATCTCTGGGCTTTGCTTATCTTTCCAAGGTCATTTCTTCTAGATTTGGTATGCAGCAGCCAGCAGCTACTAGGGGATTGGGCTTTACAGTTTGTTTCAATTTGCTGCTTGGCGAACTTTTGCCTCAGATCTTGCCTAAGACTTGTTGCATTCAGTCCTCTCCTAGTAAAAGTACCTTTTCTCTGAATCTATGAAGCCAAGGGTTTTCCTTTCCTAGGGAATAGATGGAGGCAGCTCTCACACAACTATACATCACTTTGCAGAAAGCAGTGTACAAGGAATTTAGCTCTGGCCTTGAGAAGGGAGGGGAAACAGTTATTTACTCATGTTGTTTATCTGGCCTATTTCAAAGGGCTGGCAAGCAGCCCATAAGAGAGCCTGACAGTTGAGGCCCATTTGATTGGCATGGGAACCACCATGGATGATGGCATCAATGGAATAAAGAATATTCTCACACTTCTGTGTTGGAAACATTCTTTTCCCTTTCATTTCAGAGATGGGGAGCAGGAGGGAGGAATTATTATTTCTATATAAATGATCAGCAGGTATAAAATTTCCCATATTGAAGAAGTTCAAAGTATTAATGTTGTTACTATTCCTATTATAGTTTGTTTTTATTGAAAGGGGCTCAGATGGTATGAATGGTGCTTCTCAGACCCATTGCATCTGTACAAGGGGTGAAATTCAAAATTTTTCCCTACCGGTTCTGTGGGTGTGGCTTGGTGGGTGTGGTAGGGGAAGGATATTGCAAAATCTCCATTCCTACCCCACTCTGGGGCCAGCTAGAGGTGGTATTTGCCGGTTCTCCGAACTGCTCAAAATTTCCACTACCGGTTCTCCAGAACCTGTTAGAACCTGCTAGATTTCACCCCTGGTCTGCACAATAGTGTAATATAAGTCAGACTGAGATAGGGTGACTCTCCAAGGTGCAAGTCTAACATATGATGCCTTACACACCATATTGACTGTTAATGTAAAGATTAATCTTTTTTGCCTTTCCTCTTGTCTCATTTAAGCTTAATAAAGAAGCAAAGCTTAGCAAGAATGTCGCCATCATCAAGTTTCCTCAGGTGTATCATGACCTCGAGGCAGGAACACAGTGTTTGGTAGCTGGTTTGGGGGCTACTGATAATAAAAATAAAATAGCATCAGATGTCCTCCGTGAAGTTAATGTCACTGTCATTGCAAGAAGCATCTGCAATGATCAAAAGCACTATAATTCCCAGCTCCTAGTGACAAACAATATGGTCTGTGCTGGTGACAAGAGAGGAGACAAGGATTCATGTTCTGTAAGTATATCTATCTATCTACCTGCTCTGAATGTTTGAAACTCAAAAATAGTATACTGAAAGGAGAATTTGAAAGAATGAGTAATCATACTTGCATGCTTCTAGTGTTCAAAGAAATCAAAGTCCTACACTATAACAACTGTAAAATTAGTAAAATCTTCCCATCATAAAGTCAATTGCAAAAAACCATCTGGAATTATTCCTCCTTCCAGATTGATAGCATTATGATATGTGATGAATCTTTAAAAAGAAGTGCAGGCAGTCCTCAATTTATGACCCCGAGGCCAAAATTTCTATTGCCAAGTAAGACAGTTGTTAAGTGAATTTTACCTCATTTTACAAACTTTCTTGCCACACTTGCCATCCACAGATGGATCTTGACAGACTTGAACACTGGGCCCTATCTAACAAAATTAAATTTAATGTAGAGAAATGTAAAGTCTTACACTTAGGCAAGAAAAACCAAAAATAAAAAACATATAGACTGGGTAAAACCAGGCTTAATAGCAGTAACTGTGAGAGGGATCTTGGAGTCTTAGTGGACAACCACTTAAATATGAGCCAGCAGTGTGCAGCGGCAGCCAAAAAAGCCAATGCAATCTAAATTGCATTAACAAAGGGATACAATCAAGATCAAGTGAGGTACTAATACCACTCTATAAAGCCTTAGTAAGACCACACCTAGAGTACTGCTTCCAGTTTTGGTCACCACACATGTTGAGACTCTAGAAAAAGTGCAGAGAAGAGCAACCAGGATGATTAGGGAACTGGAGACTAAAATATATGAAAAACAGTTACAGGAACTGGGCATGACTAGTCTAGTGAAGAGGAGAACCATGGGAGACATGATAGCACTGTTCCAATATTTGAGGGGCTGCCACAGAGAGGAAGGGGTCAAGCTATTTTCCAAGGCACCCGAAGGCCAGACAAGGAATAATGGATGGAAACTGATCAAGGAGAGATTCAAGCTAGAAATAAGGAGAAATTTGAGAACAATCAAGCAATGGAACAGCTTGCCTTCGGAAGTTGTGGGAGCTTCATCATTGGAGGTTTTCAGGAAGAGATTGGACTGCCATTTTGTCAGAAATGGTATAGGGTCTCCTGCTTGGGCGGGGGGTTGGACTAGACCTACAAGGTCCCTTCCAACTATGTTAATCTGTATAAGTATATATGTACAGTCAGAAATAAAGCTATTTTCTAAACAGTACCATTTTAGATTTAGGTTTATTTGTCTATTCTGTAGATTTCCATCAAGGATGTCCTCTTCCCGTCTTTTCCCACTCCATTAACTCTGCAAGATAGGTTTGACTGAGAGAGATAGAGAGAACAGAGACAGAGAGATACTCAGTCGGGGGGGGGGGTGCACAGGGTGAAAAAAAGTCAATATCGAAGCAAAACTCCTGCCACTTTTTCACATGCTTCAGGGCAGAAGGTTGATTCTGTAACCAGGATGGGCATATTTCTCCACTTCTGGCCTTGGGGGAGGGTCAAGGTATACCAGAGTGAGGGGAGCCAACTGAAAAAGCATCCCCTGGCCCCCTTTTTCCAGTCACCTGAATGGGGCACTTGCAGGGCCCCTCCCAACCAGCCAAAATTGGAAGAATACATTATGTTATATATAATATTGGACATAATATAAATTTGGATAAATGGGAAACGATCTGGAATAGAAATTACAAACTAACAAAAGAGGCAACATATAAAGAAAACCAATATAAAATGTTATACAGATGGCACCTAGCACCTGCGAGATTAGCAAAAATCTATCCAAATGTAAGCCCCAAATGTTGGAAGTGTGGATATCACCAAGGTACATTCTTTCTGTGATGTTACAGTGACTCTGCATACAGAGTCACTGTATCAGTCAGATGGGCAGCATAGAGATTTAATGAATGAATAAATAATATTCAATAGTCAATTTTTATTGGCCAAGTGTGATTGGACACACAATGAATTTGTCTTGGTGCATATGCTCTCAATGTACATAAAAGAAAAGATACATTCATCAAGAATCACAAGGTACAACACTTAATGACAGTCATACGGTACAAATAAGCAATCAGGAAACAAATTAAATACAACTACTGCAAATAATGCAAAATTTCTCTTCTCCCGACCCACCCTTTTTCTCCCTTGCGCAGGGTGATTCTGGTGGTCCTTTGATATGCAATGGGGAACAAAGAGGCATCGTTTCCACTGGTATAGAATGTGGAAAGCCTGAGTATCCTGGTGTCTACACCCTTCTGACAGATAGATATTCTCATTGGATAAAGAGTGTTATACAAGGCAATTTATAGAATTATCGTTTGATGTTGACATTCTTTTTTATTATATTCATTCATTATGATTTCTTTAAGACAATCTTTTCCGGCCTTTTCCCTCCAGATGCATTTGACTAGTAACACCATACTCAGCTAACACAAAAACATTGAGCCTGACAGCTAAATGAAATTTTGTAACCAAGTTTTCTTTTTCTTTATAAAAGCTAAGCACAAGTTTCTAGAAATCATTATTATTTAATTATTAATTTAATTTAAATTAATAATTTAAATTAATAATTTTATAATTTATAATTTAATTTTATAAATTATAAATTTATAATTTATAATTTAATTATTATTAAAATTATTATTGCTAGACCAATTCTTGAATACAGCTCATCTGTCTGGAACCCACACTGCATATCGGACATTAATATAATTGAACGTGTCCAGAAATATTTCACAAGAAGAGTCCTCCACTCCTCTGCTCGTAACAAAATACCTTATGTTATCAGACTTGAAATAGTAGGTTTAGAAAATTTAGAACTACCCGCCTTTGGTATGACCTAAGCATAGCTCATAAAATCATCTGCTACAATGTCCTACCTGTCAATGACTACTTCAGCTTCAATCACAACAATACACGAGCATACATTAGATACAAACTTAAAGTGAACTGCTCCAAACTCGATTGCAGAAAATATGACTTCAGTAACAGAGTTGTTAATGCCTGGAATGCACTACCAGACTCTGTGGTCTCATCCCCAAACCCCCAAAACTTTAACCTAAAATTGCCTACTGTTGACCTCACCCCATTTCCTAAGAGGTCTGTAAGGGGCGTGCATAAGAGCACTAGCATACCTGCCGTCCCTGTCCTAATGTTCCCTTTAATTATACTCATTTTATATGTTGAATTCATGCTTATACTTATATATATTATCTAATATCTACTTGACAAAATAAATAAATAAATAAATAAATAAAATATTTATCTTTATTTTTCTCTCTATGTATGTGCACTTATTCTGCTAGATAAAGTTATTACTATGTTTATCACAAATGAAATGATAGTTTATTTCCAGAAAGCAGAAGAAAATAAACCCTTCTTGAAAACCATTTTGTTGTTGGTTCTTTTGTTGTTGTTGTTCATCTGTGCTATGTATCCAGTGTTTTCTTGTGGCAAACTTGAGATTTTTTCTGTATTTGGAAGAATGAATTTCTGTGCTGGGAATGATTTCTAAATGCCCTTCTATGGGGTGGCATAACATAACTGAATATCTCTTATAATTGGAGGTATTTTGATGATAAGAACACCTTATGTCCTTATCATTTGAGACTTCTTATGGATCTGTACACCACTTTTATTAGTGGCGATGTGAGAGTACTTGAAAGCATTGGAACCACTGGTCTCCTGCAGTTAGAAGTCTTCATCACTCCATGTTTTCAAACAAAGGTTGGACAACCATTGGTCTGAGATGATATGAGGCAGGGGATTGATACAAGAGTAGTTTATCTGTAAGGCATGACATGTAGTATGATAAACATACTGTGGAGGAAGTGAGAGGACACCAAGCCAACAAGCTCAATTTTTTTCATGCACTGCTCGGAAGAAAGGAGTCAAGGAGCGATCTTGACTTTTGTTAAGGATTTGGGAAGAAATTAGAACAAAGAGCTGTATACACTTGCTCCAGGACATGTACAGAGAAAGCCAAATGCTTACGATAAACTTGATGGGATTTGCACTCCAGTCACAAATAGGATGAGGAGGAAGGGTTAACAATTTTGGTTCATCTAGTGAGGGGCTGGAACCTGAAAAAGTGGACTGCAAGTGTTCTCAGCTGACAGATTGTATCACCAAAATCATGTGAATGTACTCTGCAAGTTAAAACAATAATAATGCCTAACCTCAGAGCAGACTTGACTAGAACCTTTCATAAATAATGTATCTATTGGCTTGCAAGATTCTCTGTGGAGCATTTCAAATAGTGGCACCTAGCACTGATAAAGGGCGTGGTAAATTTACCTGCTTCAGTTTTTATCATTTTCCAAATGCAATTCTTCAATAGAGCAGAACAGAATAGAGATCCAATTTTCTCACAATGAGAGTAGAGCTGCAGAGCTTTTTCCTTCTTTCTTTTGAAACTCAACCATACCTGATCTACACTCATTTTAAGATTAACATTAGGCCAAGCTTATCATCAGTAGGGAATACATTTTAATATCCGTTTATTGTAGAAACATAATATAAACATTATAACATTAAACATTATAAATTCAGTTAGAACCTCTAAGTTACAGTATAACAGCAACTATGCGAGTAGGACTTTTCTGTTCTTAGACAATATTTCTTTGCAGTATGTGTAGTCGTCTTTAGAGCAATTTCATTTTGAACTGAAACCACAAAGGAAACCCAGGTATCAACGCTGTGTTCTAGGAATCATTAGGACATCACTGAATAACTGTAATCCCTCTAACGCACAATCATCTAATTCATAAGTTCTCCAGAGAATCCACTATTAGTGGAAAGAGAATTACACATAGAAAACCAGGTGTAGAGAATGGGGTTATATTGGAAATAGGCCGTTTATGTAGGGGAATGTACATCCAGGAGGATTCCAGCTCATCAAAAGTTTTTGATGAACTTGATCAACACTTAAAGAAGCCATTTAAAAGAAGTTTAACAGAGGCTGATGAGAATCAAACATATAACCCCCTTGGACGATTTATACTACTCTTGTGTTTGGAAATGGTAGCTTATGAGACACATGCTTAACATTTTATATAGCAAGAGCAGCTTGAAATCATGAAGCAAAAAAAGAATTTATTTCCTTCTTCACTGAATTCCACATCTGAACCGCTTCCGCGGAAGCCACATTTGAAACAATAATGAATAAGTGTGTGTGTGTGTGTGTGGGTAGTGCAATGTTTGAACCCTGCCAATACAATTGCAAGAACCCAAGGATATTCTACCCAAGGATAGAATGGACATCTGGGTTTTTTTTCCCACAGGCTTGGTTCAAGATGCTGGTGCCTATCTATCTATCAAGACCCTTGAGAGGACAGATATTTTTCTTTCCAGAATTTGCAATGTGAGGCCAGTACCACGTCCTGTGTTCTAGATAAGTGAAATTGGAGAATATTTTGCTTTTTTATATCATTTCCCAAACAAGGACTCTTACCTCGATTAACTTTTAAATGGCTGGTGAGGACCAGATTGTTTGATGGAACTTTTAATAGTTAATCCTTCTTTATGAGTTTAGAATTATTCTTTATTTCCAAGGCATGAAATGCTGTTCAGCATTGTCATCTAATATACTTTTTTAGTTATTTATGTTGGTTCATTCTCTTGAGCACTCACTGAGCAGAACATTACAGTACCATATGGTTCTCTACTGATTAAACAAAAAAAATGGCTAATCAGGAGTATTTATGATTGTTGACAATTTGACCCTTCCCCAGTCAAAACTAAATTGTGCTCAACAGAAAATTTCTAAGAATTTTCTTTCATCTTTTGATCACAATTAACTCTACAACTACCTGAAATGAAACTTTCTGTGCAAATGTTTTATGCTTGCCTAGTCTGCCAACCACATCTGCTTCTCACCAACTGTCAAGAAGTAATAAATAATGAGGCTTGAAAATGACAGGGAAATAGAAGAATACAGTACAAAAATAATGTAAAAGATCTCTATTTGCATTTCTACTGTACATGAACCTACCTACTTTAGCTTGTCCTTGCTACAAAACCACCAGTTATTAGAATAGACTAGAACAGTGATGACTAACCTTTTTGTCATTGCATGCCAGCACCCATAATGCAATGCGTGCATGCGACACACACACACACACACACACACCCGCAGCCTGTTTTTGATTCCAGGAGGCTGAAGGGAGGCCTGCTAGCCCAAAACGGGCTGTGGGGGGTGCACAGCATCCCCCCGTGGTCCCCCGCCACCCCCCTGGGCATGCACCCGTGCCCCACACCCCATACATGCGTGGCAGAGACCCAAAAATCAGCTGGCCAGAGAGGGCTCCACATGCCACCTGTGGTATGCTTGCCATAGGTTCGCCATCATGGGACTAGAATGTATAAATTAAGATACCTATTAATGGGGTTCAAATATACAATTCTCATGAAAACAGAATCACTCTTTATTCCTTTTATGTATTACATGGTGAGCTTCTACAGAAAGTTCTTCTTTGAAAGAAGTCAGTCACCAGTTGACCCAGTATGGAATGCACCATATAAGCCTTAGGGACAGCACCCTTCCTCCAGAGTTTTTACTAATGGATTTAGTCATCTTCCAAAGAATGATGAACATTCATCCCATCACACAATTCCAGAAGTTGCTGGAGGAGTAGAATGTTGATGTCATAATCATGTGGGCCTCTAGTAGACTTTTGTTCAGTCTTTCTCCAGGAGTAGTGTTCCGCCTACAGTATTGTAACCTACCTTGTTTTGTGTGACAACTCTAATAGCTACAGCTAATTTCTCTCTCTTTCTCTTTCTCCACTGCACACCTTGCTAAACTCTGCTGCCTAGAAATGATACCTCCTTCTCCAAAGTCTTTTTATTATCAGTGAATATTTCTGAACTTGCCAAGAATGCATTTAGCTAATGAATTCTGGGTTTTTTTATGTGTTCAATGTATATTGACTATCTTGTTGTTGGTGAACTCAAAGTAGCACCTATGGAACTTTTGTTTGTTTTGTGCTTTTCTATTACCATTTTCTTCCTCAAAAACCAGAGGGGTAAGTGCTATTTTGTGAATGTATTTTCCTCACTTTGCCTTTGCACAAAAGCAATTGTTTAAAGGTGAATGGGAGGTTTGCCATAATGGGAACAAGGTGATCTAAAGAAACAGAAACCTCTCAAACAGAAGGTTCAGCTCCATGCTCATCTCCAACTAGCAATTAATCTTCTAGCACCAACAAGGCTTTAAAAGATTTAAAATAAAGCCTTTTTTCAAAGCCTCAGTGATATATGGAGGGATTTGTGCTAAGGCAGAGGTGACCATAGGAGAGGATTAAAGGGAAGCATGATGCAAATTTCATGCCTTTTGAACATGTTTTCTGATGCCAGATGGATATGTGAAAGAGATGGAAATGTCTATTGCCCTTGCATGATGATGCTCTCATCATAGAGAAAAGGACTAGGGGTGACATGATAGCAGTATTCCAGTATTTGAAGGGCTGCCACAAAGAGGAGGGGGTCAACTTATTTTCCAAAGCACCAGAAGGCAAGACAAGAAACAATATATGGAAACTAATCAAGGAGAGAAGCAACCTGGAATTAAGGAGAAACTTCCTAACAGTGAAGATAACTAGCCAATGAAACAGCTTGCCTTCAGAAGTTATAGGTGCTTCATCACTGGAGATTTTTAAGAAAAGACTGAACAGCCATCTGTCCATCTGAAATAGTATAGGGTCTCCTGCTTGAGCAGGGGGTTGGACTAGAAGACCCCCCCAAAGTCCTTTTCAGGTCTATTCTGATTGATTGATCGTTTTGATAAAAGCATTGGATCCTGCTGACACGTTGAGCAAAGGATTAGTTTCTCTCCAAAATAGAAAAACATTTCAATAAAGCTTCAAAGAGTTTCCACTCATTTTGCACTTGAGGTTGCTATTCATACATTTGAATTTTGAGTATCCAAATGCAAAATACCTCCGCTGCATTTCTCTCTGATAGCATTCTTTCACAGCTCAAGGTGGTAGCTTAAAGATTATAACTATCACATGTTTAAAACATGTAGATTTTGTTTAAAAACAGGTTGGCTCCACTGTCTTGCATAGAATGATGTCCCACTATTCTACTTCCCCCCCCCAAAAAAAAAAGTAAACTGGGGAGGGAGAGGGAGCCTTCTATGACAGGAAGCAACCTCACATGTTTCCTTCAATAAAATAGAGGGTTTGCAACTGGCTGCCATTTTGTATATGGACAAGCCTCCCCAACATTCATTTTGTTAGACCTCCCATGACACAATCTCAGGCTGTGAAATGAAATCCAAAATCACAATACTCTCCTCAATTGTAACTGGAAAAATATCCTACTGTAAATATAAGGATAGAAGGAATAAGCGCTTTATGTTAACCTCTTCTGTCACCCTTTGCACATACAGGGTAATTTGTGCATCAGAAAATCTTCTCTGTTGTGCTCGCTATATGATTTAAAATTTTGATTGGCAGAGTTCTAAACTCTGCAGAGAAATTCTAGCAACTGAAACTTTACCCTAAATATGAAAACCTCCCACCGACCAGTCAGCTCCCACAGAGAGGGTCTCCTCAGGGTGCCATCGGCCAAATTATGTCGGCTGGCGACACCCAGGGGGAGGGCCTTCTCTGTGGGAGCCCCTGCCCTTTGGAATGAACTGCCCCCAGAAATTCGTAAGATCTCTGATCTCTGTATATTTCACTGTGCCCTGAAAACCTTGTTGTTCCGCCAGGCCGGGCTATCAATGTAAAGATTTTAATTGGTTTTAAATATGGGATTTTAAATTTGGGGGTTTTATAATTGATCCAATTATTTAATAATTTTAATTATTTTTAAATTTTGTCTGTCTTTGTGCTTTTAATCAGGCTGTACACCGCCCTGAGTCCTTCGGGAGAAGGGTGGTATAGAAATAAAATTAATTAATTAATTAATTAATTAATTAATAATAAATAAAACTGAAGAAGCAGAACTAGTGTGATCATCTTTCCTTGCATATGATTATAGTCAGTGAATGGAGCTCTTCAGTAGTTACTTCATAATTAATCCATAATATTATGTGCTTATTCAACCTGATCCAACTGGCTTTTCTCATAGGTCAATCTGCAGATGTATCTGAAGAGGAAGAACATTCAGTACCATACGTGGTTGGTCTCATCAAACACAAACATTTATTATGTGCAGGAACATTGATCAAACAGAATTGGGTGTTAACAGCAGCCCATTGCTTTCCGTGAGTATCCATATTTTGTTCAAATTTTTTCTTGCAATTGCATCCGTTCAGGCATACTTTAGGAAAGCCTATTAAACATTTTCCATCCAGATATCTAGAGTTGAATCCTAATATAAATTGCTAGAAAGAGTTATCTCCCATAGGATTTAAGTTAACTCAGAAAAATACAATTGCTAAATACCTATCAATCAATCAATCAATCAGTCAGTCAGTTAGTCAGTCAATAAATCACAGGGAGTAGAAATCCCATTGTAAGTGAGAAATGTGAAGTGGAAGATAGACTCTAAGAAGAAAGGAAAGTGAGATTCATCTTCTTACATTTTTGGCAGAATAATGTTCCAATGTCATGCTTGTGTAAAAAAAATCCATTCCTGTAATTTCATCATATTTACATCCTACAAAGGGAGAGATAATTAAGAAAATATTGGAAAATATTGCAGAAATGAATAGGTTGACATTGGCAATTAAAAGGAAAACAGAATCGGAGTATTACAACATTTGGGGGAAATTTTATCAATCGATAGAAAGTGAATATAGACAATAAACATGGTAAAGAGAAGAACTTTGAGATGAATATGTTGTAGGATGTTAAAATTAAATGAAAAAAGAAAGATAAATATATATGTTAAGAAACGATGATAAACTTTGACGATGATGGCACAAAAGTTATACCCAGATGATACATGGATTGATTAATAAAGTACAGGAATATTAGAAGAGGAATAATTGTAAAGTAAAAAAGAAATTTGAAATGAAGATGTATGTAAATAGAAGTCGGGTTTGCTCGAATACCATTTTAGATTGAATTAAAAAAGGAAACAAAAAGGGAATGGGAAAGGGGGAGGAGTAGAGAGGGGAAGGTAGGGGAGTTGGGAGTTGAGAAGAAAAGAAAAGAAGAATGGGAAAAGGAGAGGAAGAAGGAAGGGGAAAGAAGAGTAGGAGAGAGGGGGAGAAGGGGAGGAAGAAGAGAGGAGAGGGGAAAGAGAAGAGGAAGTAGAAAAGGAAAGGAGAGGAGGAATGAGGAAAGTAGAAAGAAAAGAGGAGAAAGAAGGGAAGAGAAAAAGGAAAGGTTGTAGTAAAACAAAGGAAGGAAATGGTAAAAGAGCAGACCTGAAAAATTCATTAATTAGCTAATAGAAGTTAAAGAATAAGACGAACGAACAATGTATAAGGATGGATAAAAGACTGTACATTTAAATATGTTGATGAAAAATAAAAATATTTTTTTAAAAAAATTACATTGCTAAATCTATATCACTCCAAGGCTTTTTTCTGGCCCATAGTTAACCTTGAGTGCTAACCTCTATCAATGTGTGAATTTTAGCTATGCAAACAGACAATTATTCTTGTTAATGTTGCTGTTATTATGGTTCATTGCGCAGTCAGCCATGCTGGATTTGGTATTTCTGCCTCCTATCGAATCTTTCCCAAAGACTTGGGATATGCAGCAATTGTTCTTTGATAGTGACTACATATTCCAGATGCTTGGAGTTATGGTCCCCCAGACATGTGGTTGGCATTATGCTGTGTAAAGTGGAATTTCAAACACTGAGAGATGTTTTGGGGAAGATGCCCAAAGAAAAACATTGTATGAAAGTAGGAAGAAGGACAGATATAAGAAGACAAATATTACTACCGTATATTGAATTACTACATACTCTAACTTACCTTTTTAGGAATGAAGAAACATATATTGGTGTTGGAAGACAAGCCATAATTAAAGATGAAGGAAAAGATTTTATAAACATTACTAAAATCTTTTTTTACCCAGGATTTGATCCAAAAACATTTGAAAATGATATCATGCTTTTGAAGGTAAATCTGTAAATTGACAATGAACATTCTGAGAAAAAAACTATAGCATTGCGCTTATTGGAATGAGCATGATTCTTGAGCAATATGTAATTAAAATTTATACTTGTTTATTTCCAGCTCTTGACCAAACACAATGAATTAGTTTTATAAAACAATAACACAATAAAATAATCAAACCAATAAGGTTTAGCAAATCAGGAATGATCATTACTATATAATGATAGGGTGAAAAACCTAAAAACTTCAAAATTACTAGAGCCAAGAAGCCAAGAAGCATAATTAAAATAAGAACTAAAGAGTGAAGAGTTAAATGGAAAAATGAAAGTGAAAAAGACTTTAACTCCAACAAGATCCCAAAATTGGAACTTCCACAGTCTGGGCGGTACAGGCCTGCTTGTCACTGAAGAGCAGAGGTGTTCAAACTTGGCAGCTTTAAGACTTGTGGACTTCAACTCCCAGAATTCTCCAGCCATCATAGCTGGAGCTTAAGTCCACAAGTCTTAAAGCTGCCAAGTTTAAAGACCTCTGCTCAAGAGAGTTTTTGCTTGTTCAGATTGCAGAGTAATTTCCTGGGAATGCATCAAGAATTATAATAACAGGGCAATTTGTAAGAGCAAACTTTTTCACATGGTAGTCCTGCTAAAACTCCATTATCAAAAATGTATTGTGTGTTGTTTCATATGACTACTCAACTTCATTCTATCTCCTTCACTTAGCAGGCATTCAAAAGTGATTATTTATAGCTATAATATGGTGAGCATTCTGGGGATATTAGAGGTATTTCTCTGCAGAAGTACTTACTCTTTTCTGGGAAATACCAATGTGCTATCTGGAACCAGCTTTGAATTCCATTAGTTATTTTTGGATGTGCTGTAAGCCAGGCAAGGAATTCATGGACTGTAGGCCAAATACAGTTTTCAAGATTTCCATTTTACCTACTTTTTTCCCCAGCTCCATTGGTTTCCCATATTTTCTCATTTCACCTGTCCCAGCATTAAGGAAGAGGAAAGATTTATCTTTGATCTATAGTAGAAAAGAGTTACGTATCTCAGCACTGGAATATGAGATTTACCTCTCATCTGCAGACCCCAAATAAGCCCTTTTATTGGAGTGGGAAAGTGCACCAACTGGTAAGAAAAGAAGATTAATTTCCCACAAATCTGAGATAGATTAGAGAGTGATATAATCATTGGCCTCTATCAAAACCTATTAATTCAAATTAGCTATTCTTATTTTTTTTTTTACCAGCTTCATGTTATGGCAACGAAGATTAAAATAAACATCCTCCCAATTCCTAACTCTACCCATGATATCAAAGCAGGAACTTCCTGCATAGTAAAAGGATGGGGAACTACTAGTAAAAGGAGGAGATTTAAGAAATTCCGTGCAATTAACGTCACCATCGTTGACAGAAATATCTGCAATGACAAGAAACATTATAATTCTCATCCTTTTGTGACAATGAAGATGGTGTGTGCTGGAGAGAAGAACAGCGGGAAGGATTTATGTGTGGTAAGTTAACTCTATGCAGATTAAGGTTGCTGGCCAAATCATTTCCATAGACCTCATATGGTTTTGGGAGAGTAAGGGTTAAGGAAACCCACTTTTTTAGCTGTGGCCCCAGTAGTGGGTTGCCCCCGGTTCGGACCAGTTTGCAAGAACCGGTAGTAAAACCAGCGGGAGACCCCATCCACTGCCCTGGATGTCGTCATCAGCGATCTGCACATGTGCAGAAGCTTCTGCGCATGCGCAGAAGCAAGGCACGTGTGCGAGCAAAGGGATCACGGGATCGCGTGTGCGCGATCCCGTTGCGAACCAGTAGTAAAGGTAAGTAGAACCTGTGTGGCCCCATTATATGATCACTATCCACAGAAACAAGGAGGACCCCTAGTCTGCAAATATTTTGCATACAAGCTAAAACAGCATTGTTCCAACAGCTATGTGGCCCTTAGGCTAAGTGAATGGTGCCCTTCACGTACCAGAATTGTTTATTTTTATTGTTCATTCATATCCTTTTCAAATGTTCGGGGGTTTTTTGCCCAGATTCCACCAGAATTGGAGGAGGGTCCAAATATGGTTACATATATAAACATTAGGAAATGTCTTTTTCAAAAATTAGAATAAAAGAGTTGATACAAATGTCCATCCAACAAATTGTACATTCTTTTTTTGCAGAAAGATATATCCTCACAATAACATTGTGAATTTAAGAAGAGAGAATGATTATACTGTTGATTTCACTACTATGAGAAAGTGGGGGATTATGGGACTTTTGTGATCATTGCAGAGTCTGCTGTTAATGTGCAAACAATTGAAGTGTCAGGTTCCCACTATCTCTTCTTATAGGATTTTTTTTTTCTTTTACATTGGACTGGATCTGAGAGCCCTTCAGAAACAAGACTGTCCTCTTTGAAATAGAGGAGATAAGCTTTTCCTTTGCTGATCAACTGAAGGAGGTTTAGTCATCTGTAGGGATGACCTTGGAGAAACTGTTCGAAACTGTTACAAGCACGTGAGGAAAGACATGGTCTGGGCCCACCATCTGGCCTTTTGCCTGATGAATCCGCAGGATAATCCACAGCAAGAGTCCTTGGCTTCAAAACTGTGGATCCAATGAGGAATTTGAAGTCCCATCCCCTTTTACCTGTCTGTAGAATGTGTGAGATGTTGCCTATTTAAAAATGGGAGGGGGCCTTTGGTGACTTGACCATACCTGCCATTTTGAAGCCAGTGTTGCAGATTGCTCAGAATCCATTAAATTAAGAATGTGACCCATTACATCCCCATGATTTATGATGAGATGAGATATGTCTTAGACACAGGCAACTTTTTTCTTCCAACAGTGAATTTTTAAAATTATTATTTTCTCCAAGGACCCCTGAAGTGGTGCAGAGATGTCATGGGTATGGGAGAAGCAACATTTTCTGCCCCTTTTTATTTTATGGGCGAAATGAGATTTGTGAAAAATAAACTATCATATTTTTCAGAGTATAAGACGCACCTTTTTCCCCCTAAAAGAGGCTGAAAATTTGGGTGCATCTTATATTCGGAATGTAGCCCCGCCTACCTGCCGACCCCCACCCTTTGGCCTCCGCGTGTCCTCTTCCTTGCTCCAGAGATTGCCACCGAAAATGGCTTGTGTTTTTGGGCTCCGCATGTCGCATTTTCAGCTTCCAAACACTCCGTTTAAGAGCCCCAACAAGGCGCATGCACTCAAAACTAGTGAACTAATGTACTGAAGCTGACCAGGCTAAGGACACTAGCCAGATGAATACCTGGTAGGCAGAAATTTTTTTTTCCTATTTTCCTCCCCCAAAACTAAGGTGCGTCGTAAAATACGGTGTGTCTTATACTCCGAAAAATACGGTACTGAGCTTCTTTGAAATTGAATACATTTAAATTGTTAAACATAAATAAAAATTTTACTAGTCAGAGTTGTTATTTTGCTATTGAATTTCAATTGTGTGATCCTAGGAAAAACAAAAATTATATTTAGGGTCATCTAATTGCTGATTTCCGTTACTTTTTCTGTATACATCAGCAGAGCTGTCTTAGCTTTTGTGAATGGTAACCAGTGGTGGTTGCCCCCGGTTCAGACTGGTTCGCAACAACCGGTAGTAAAACCGGCGGGAGGCTCCCCCCACTGACCCGAACGTCATCAGAAGTGATCTGCGCATGCGGGCACGATGCGAACCGGTAGTAAAGGTAAGTAGAACCCACCCCTGATGGTAACCCACCCCTGTCTGTCTTTTTTCTCAGGGTGATGGCGGTGGGCCTTTGATATGCAGCGGGCAGCAAAGAGGCATTGTCTCCTTTGTTAAAAAATGTGACCATCCAGAATATCCTGGCATCTATACTCAGCTCACTGACACCTATATCTCCTGGATAAAGACCATCACAGATGAAAATTCACATTGACTGAATAATATTTGAGGAAGCTTTTTTGTTAGCTTGTGACTGCTTAATTATCCATTTTCCCACCTCGGTCCCTGCATTACAGCTTCCCTTTTACATACGGAGAAGAGAACGATGGTAACTCATTCAGTAGTAGCTATACCAGCTACAGACTCTATACTGTAAATGTTTGAGGTTGGTCCTGAAACTCAGCCTCTCCAGGCCAGCTTTAATTTTCAGTCCATTGGTACTAAAGTAGGTTTTTATTCTCTGGCAAAAAAAGAGTATTTTTTACAAAATACTTGTGACAAAGAGTATTTCATACTCTTTGAGTATGAAATAGAAATTTCTGCTTAGAAAGTTTATTGGCCTCCAGCGTTTGAGTTACCTGCTCACTGAAAAATCTACCCTGCAAAAAGAAAATAATGAATGCTAAGATAGTTTTCCCACTACTGGCAGCAAATTTGTTGATACCAATAAATTGTCTCTTAAGCGTCATTTGCTTAACCAAAAGCAATTTGTTTGATTGAAAAATATGAAATCCACAGCACGATAATCTTGAATGTTGGCTTCCTGGACCTGGGATATGGCTTTTTCAACAACATACAAAGAATCACTGTCAAAAGCATCCCTTAATAGCTTCATTCATGTGGCATTTTGTTTTGTCTCTCCATTGAATCTTGTCCAGTTAACAGATATTTTGGTGTACAATTAGATGCTACATAGTCCACTAAAATAAGGAGATTTAGGGGAATGTTCCTGTGAAGGATGAACAAAGAACACCGACAATGTACACCAAGTGTATATTCACAACAGGGTCATACAGGATGAAGCTAGAGGTAGATGATTAGCACAATGGCAATAGAAAAATATCTTTCCATGCCACAAGTGAGGAGGCAATAATAAATCATTCCTGCATTTTACCAATTTATCACATGGACAGACAAGATAGTGACTGACAATATAGTGCTACAGGATGGGCCCTTCAGTTCAGGTGGCCCTCTCTGTCCATAACACTGAAAGCTAGTCAGTTTGGGGGGGGGGGCAGTGTTTAGAAATTGCACCTGTATTTAGATTGCATCAGGTGCAACTCTGAGGGGCAAGAACTGCAATCCATAGTCCAGTGCTGTCAATATTTCCAAGAAGAGTTTGCAACCCAAAGAAAACAAAAACAGCTCTGGACTTAGATTTATCACCTTTAGATGATCATCAAAAAGAATTTAAATGATTATTTTTGATAGCTGAATCTTCCGGTCCTCCACCACTTCGTTCCACATCTGTTTAATTAGAGGTTGAAGTAAAAATAGCACATGTACAATATGACACATTAGAAATGCATCACATTGTATATTATTATATTACATGACATTTAAATCCATTCTTCCTCTGGAGAGTTCAAAACAATGGAATACAGCAACTCACTAATTCCAATTCAAAATCTCATTCAGATCAGTCACCATCTCTCAATCTAATCAACTCACAGGAATGAGAATTTGGATAAGTCTTTGGATAGATGAAAGGCACAGCAGTGTTATCAAAGCTCTGATGCTGGGTATCAGTCAGGACAAAATCTTCCATCTTTCAGTCTAGAGATTCTCAGTCATTCAAGTCATGGTTGTCCCAAAGGTGTTTTTTCAGGAGGCAACTGGACTTCCTTGTTTTTTCTTTAGAAGACGTTTCGCTTGTCAGACAAGAAGCTTCTTCAGCTCTGAAAGAATAGTGGGAAATGGAAGGATTTATATTCCTTGCAGACATCTGGTAATCTGCCTCCTTTTAGAGGGTTGTTGAAATACTTGAGGTCATGGTTGGCCCAAAGGGGCTTTTTCAGGAGGCATGAAATGGATGAGAAGCAAAACATCTTCAAAAGAAAAAACAAGAAAGTCCAGTTGCCTCCTGAAAAAGCACCTTTGGGACAACCATGACCTGGATGACTGGGAATCTCTACAGAATTTTAGCTATACAATTTGGGATGAACACCCTTTGAATGGTTATGGGAATAGGGAATGGGAATAGGAATGGATTTCTAGAGGAAAAAGATTGCAGACTACAGGAACCAAGAGCACTGAGGACACAGATAAACCTCCAAATGTTTCAAAGACCCTCTAAAAGGATGCAAATGTCCGGCTGTCTGCAAGGAATATACATTTTTCCATTTCCCTACTATCCTGTCAGAGCCGAAGAAGCTTCTTGGATGAGAAGCAAAAAAAAAAGCACAAGAAAGTCCAGTTGCCTCCTGAAAAAGCACCTTTGGGACTGCCATCTTGCAGATTTTGATTGGCTGCAGGATTTGCTGGCTTGCACATCATTTAAACCAGAATAACTTACAGTATGATAGAAAAAGCTTATTTATAAATGAAGCGTGTACTTTATAGCATGCATAGCTTTCTATTTCCTGTTACAATCCTTTGCAGCCCTCTGTGCTACCTTCTTACAAAAAACCAACACAGAGATAATGGATCTTTATGAAAAGAAGCAGCCACACTTCAAAAGGTGTCAATCAGTTGCTAATAAATTGCCATCTTTCCTGACAACGGCTGTACCATCAGCTGGAGCAGTAAACATTCTGCTTCTTTCTGGGCCCAGTGCCATCTGCCAAATTCTTCCATTCTGATCCACAATTGAAGAAGAAAAGGAAACAAGAGGAGATATGGTCCTCATTTAACAACTGTTCATTCAGCAACCCTCTCAATTTTCAATGGCATTGAATGGTGGTACTTATAATTGGTTTTTAAGTTCTGGCCACTGCAGTGCCCCGAAATCATGTGATTGTGATCTGGGTGTTGGAAAACTGGCCCAGTTAGGTATCCGCCTTGCAGGAATCTATTTGCCACTTCTATTTTAGTGTATTTGATTGGCTAAAGAACTTGTGGTAGCTGGATTTGTTTTCAAGTTTTAGCTGAGTTTTCTATAAATAGAAAGCTACACATTAAAGATACTTAATAGTTTAAATGGTATTGAAACCAAAGACCAGCTAAACAGCAAGTGTGTTTTGCTTTTCGTTTACCTTTGTTATACTCACGGGTCACATTTAGTGAAGCTATTACCGGTACACTCTCTTGGATAACTAGTACAAAACTCAAAGCAAGTTCTCTATTCAGATTCAAAGCTGTGGAAGGAAAGCAGTCTCAAAATACATGCCATAATAGTCTGCTGAATTAGGAAGCACAGGAAACTTCCCGTGTTCATCTTATTTCAAGAACAGCTTTGCCCTGTCGTTATTTCATTGAAGTTTGGTAACCCAGGAGCATATCTGTCATTTTTTTTTCAAAAGTCCTTTCATTTTGTAGAATGACTTCAGACTTTCCGAAGATCTCTATTTAATAGTGAAATAACTGCTCATTCACCTCTGTCTCCTAATGGAAGACAGGCCATCTCTTCCTGCCCAAGTTCTGACCTTATAGGCCGGGGGGGGGGATCAAACTCACTTCGTCACGTTGTTGTCACATGATGTATCATGACTTTTTCCCCCTTCACTAAAATGGGGGTAGGCCTGGCCAGTGAGTGATGCATCCAGCCCGCAGACCGCAAGTTTGACACACCTGTTATAGGCAAACCAAGAGAGAAAGTCAGTTAAGAAATAATAAAGAGGAAATCTGCTTAATTCTTTCTCTACTTTTGTTATCATTTTCCCCAAATTGCTCCCAATTCCAGACCTATAAATATTTGAACTTTGTGCAGAAGGGGAAAAGCCAATAAAAATATAAATTGAAGCAGGGAAACTGCAGATGTGGAAAGAAATTAGTCTGACTTTCCTCAATGTATTTCATCCTCCCCCATGGCTTCAGGACTAATTATGTGCCATCAAGTCAGTGTCGAGTCTTAGCAACCACATAAATAGATTTTCGCCAAGATGATCAATCCCTCCAAGTTAATATAGCTTCACTATATCCATTACATAATTCCAGGCTGTTTTTTTATTCTTGTTCATTTTAATGGTTTAGCTAATGTAGTCTGATACTGCAGAAGGCAAAAAATTATGGGAGTTGAAGTCCACAGTTTTTAAAATTGCCAAGGTTGGACACCCCTATCTTAAACAGTATAAAACAACATCTAGCATCCCAATGTAATAATGAGCTTTTGGGATATTATGGTGATAAATACTGTATATCCTAGCATTGAGCCCACTATGGATAACAGCAGAGAACATCATTTACTAATGAAAGAACTTTATATCCTGTATCAACCATTTGTAAGCCTTTGCTATATTCCTCATAGGCATATGGCAAGGAGAGGCAAGAATATTATCAAATAAACAAGGCAGAGATATTCATTTGGCCTAGAGTCTTCCTAATGTGTTGAATTGCAATTCCCATCATCCTGAGCCAATACATTCTGCTCTCTTTATTGCCTTTATTTTGCCATTCTGGAGCAGCATGACACAGAGAATGAGATACCAAATTTTGGAAAGAACTGGAAAACATTGCTAATAGGATGAGTAATTAGAAAATTCAACATATTGGACTCGGTTCTTTTAAATTTCCATATATTCATGCGTGGTGACGTTTAGCTGCCTTTGAATTTGCAATGAGAAGTCTAAAACCCTGCTGGAAAATAAAACTAGCGTTCAGAGTTATTTTATGAATTAGTGGTACATGACTCATTTAAAAACTAGTCGAAAAATGCTATCATTTTAACGAAGTTAACCTCAAAAGCTGATATTTGAGGCTGAACTTCTTTCCAGGCAGTCTAATAGCAGAAATGCCATTTAACTATGAATTGTCCAGATCCTAGGTTAACACTACTTTAAGTTACTAGCTCAAGATTGAAACCTTTGTTGTATAACAAATACTTCGATATCATCTGCAAGAGTTTATTTTTTTTAATGTTACATTTAAATTAGGATTTTAAAAAATCAAATTATTTTATGCTTGTAATATTGACAATCTATGAGGTTTAATTAAATTAAATGTATTTATTTCCAACATTTGATGTTATCTAAACAATAGAATGGCAATAATTTTAATTAATATTGTATAAATATCATGGTATCAAAACAATATAATGTATCAAGATTTGCAACAATATAAGGAAAAGGGGAGGAAAAGTATTCCTTGGTGCTGTGGCATCTCTCCTGTAACATCTAGAGGTCTAGAGTCTCCAACCATGGCAACTTTAAGACTTGTGGACTTTAACTCCCAGAGTTCCTCAGCCAGCAAAGCTGGGAGTTGAAGTCCACAAGTCTTAAAGTTGCCAAGGTTGGAGACCCCTGATCTAGAGATTCAGTAGGTTGGCTTTGATTGGGTCAATATCTTCCCAATCAGAGGCTGTCTATGCTCTTTAAGAGGCATGTCAGGGACTGCATCAGAAGAAAGACCTGTCAGGGCTGGATAAAACTAAATTGAAGTTCTTTTCATTTATATTTTCATTGTATAAAAAGCAACCAGTATTTATATGATTATGAGTCAATTCCTCAGTGCTGTGGCGCCATTGTCCTTCTCAGCCTCTTCTAATCCAGCAGCTCTTCAAATAAGAACAAATGTCCTTTATGGCTACATCCTACCAAAAAAACCCATGAAGAGATGAGATATCTTTTGTGGGAGGCTGTTGTGAAGCAACAATCTCTGCAAATCAAGTAAAACCTCCATGAATTCCAGCAGTCTTAAAAAAAGGAAAGAAAGTCTCTGAAATAGAAATCTTCAGTTCTATCATAATCTCAGAATAAAATATGCATCTGAAATAGCTCTGAGAATGTCTATAATTTGCAGGAGCCATTACAGACACAGAATGTGAAATTTGCAGTTCCCTCATTTAAGTTATTAAATTTGTTTTTTTTTGAGGTTCCCCACAAATCTATAGCTATTACATATATTTTACCATGCCTCCCTTAAGACAGAGGATGTAAACATCTCAGTCTTCACAAACTATTATTTTTAGGATATTTAATACTACATCTATTTAATTACATCTTCCTTCATCCTAAAGTGCCACTGTTATAAGTACTGGTTCCTGTTAGTTAATTGACAGGAAAACAATTTCTAACTGGAATCTTGATTTGTAAGCTAATTTTCTGTATAGTTTGGAAGTGGGATAATAATTCAGGAATGAAGACCAGTGTCTCTCTTCCCAACTGAAATTAAATAAAACACTTTGATTTTCCTGACATTTCTCAATTTTTAGGAATGCTTACGCAACATTTGTAGATCTCTAGATGCTTCTTGGAAGTTCAGAAATAAGAATTTAAGGTAAGTATTATTTTCACAATCTGCTAAATGAACTCTTCTAACAGGTTGGATTAAAAATATAACAAATAAGAAGAATAAATGTTAGCTGCAGCAAATGAGATTTCCCTACTCATAGTTAAGCCAAATATTTATTTAATTTGGATAATTAAAACTTTGTTTTTGAAATGTAATAAAGTTTAAACTTCAGTAAACTTTCAATTTTTCATTCTATTCATGGGTTCCATTTTTGCAATGTCATTTTTCGTTTCTTACAGAAAATGCTCTCCTTATTTGTAAAACCAATCAATGTGTTTGTCGATGTAAAACTTGTAACCACAGAACCAAGAAGACGTTCACTGACGAGATGCTGAAGTTGGTTTTGTTTCCCACATACCATTTCAGGAAATGACTCCCCACATCACACCACTTTTTGTGTCTCTGAACTATGCAACAGACTGAATACATCACCCTCTGGAAAAAAAATTCTAAGAAACAACTGTGGACAAACCGTCATGCAATAGGTTTTGGTTCTTACTGAAACAACATGACTAATATTCTAAGTATAATTATTTAAGGAGCTGTTAGATTATATTTCCTCAACCTGCTATTGACTTAAATTCTAGAATTTATAGCTAGCATAGCCAAATATCAAGGGTTTTTTTTAAAAATTGTGAACTGACGTAGTACAAATAATCTCTTCCGATCTGGATGCCTTTCTGTTTCTATGACCCAACCCCCCAAATCACCAACAGTAGCCATGTTGACTGGGAACATCTGGGAGCTGTAGCCCATTCAAATTGGAGAAAGCATATTCACTGCCAAATGTGTGCACATCATTAACATTCAAAAGGATGTGCTCCATGCCTTTCTAAAGACAACTGTCTTTCTTACAGAACTAGATACTTCGTTTTCTTGAAGAGCCTTGGTAGTACAGTGGTCTAAAGCACCCTGTTATTAAGAACAGCTGCCTGCAATTACTGCAGGTTCGAATCTCGCCAAGGCTCAAGGTTGACTCAGCCTTCCATCCTTTCTAAGGTAGGTAAATTGAGGACCCAGTTGTGGGGGCAATAAGCTGACTTTGTATAAATATACAAAAGAATGAAGACTATTGCTTAGCGCATTGTAAGCCGCCCTGAGTCTCTGGAGAAGGGCGGCATATAAATCAAATTAAAAAAAACAAAAACCCTATTTTAGTCAATGATCAATATTTGTAAGACATGGGAAAGAATGTGGGTATGAACTTGTCACTCTAAAAGAACAAAAATGAAGCATCTATCCAAGCAAATAGTGGGAAAGATTCCACCATGTGACTTTTTTTGCACATGTTTTGATTACAAAAGGCCTCACAATCAATTCTTGATTTCTCTGCATAAAAAAGTTACCGTATTTTTTGGAGTATAAGACCCACCTTAGTTTTTGGGGAGGAAGCTGTTCCCAGAGGTGAATTTTAGCAACATTTTCCTTGGTTGTAAACTCTGTGCCTTGCTTTTTTTTCAGCCTCTGAAACTTCTGAAACTCAGTTTCAGAAAACACTTTTTTCCCCTGCCTCTGAAAGCCTCCGAAACAGCTTCAGAAAAAAAGGCTCTGAAGCTCTGCTTGGCAGCTTTTTTTCTGAAGCTCTGTTTAGGGGCTTCTTTTCTGAAGCTTCGTTTCTGATGCTTTTTTCAGCCTCTGAAACCTCCATTTGAGAAGCTGGGCAGGGCTACATTCGGAGTATAAGACCCACCTAGATTTTCACCCTCTTTTTTGGAAAAAAAGGTGCGTCTTATACTACGAAAAATACGGTAGATAACTAGAGGCAAGAAAGGCAATGGCTTAAAAACCTCTCTTTTAAATATTGTGTTATGCTAGCTCATGGATTACATGAACTGAAGTCTCACTCTTTAGGAAGGCAGTTTCAGATACTTTTTTAGCCACACCTAGAAGTTCCTTGGTGGACTTCTACTCCTATGTTATATTAGAAAAGAGTTTGAGAGCCTGTGCTTATGAAAATTAATATTAACTCTAATGTTATCAGAACTATTCATCTGCATACCTGGTTCTTTGTTTTACTTCTTTCATACAAGTGAATGGTATTTATAAATTCTAAGAGGTCAATGAAAGAAGCTTCAAGATGTATCTTAGAACAGTGGTCCCCAACCCGTTCCGGCTCTGTGGACTGCTGGTGGTGGGTGGCGGCAACGGCAGCAGCAGGGGGGAGAGGGAAAGGTTCTGCACAAGTGGTAGGCAAGAGTACTTTTGCACACACATGCCCACCCACCTGATTGTGCAAATGGAGTTTCGCCCACTCATCCGCTGCGCCGCTTGCGCAGCCCAGTTCCCAACAGACCATGGCTCTGTCTTAGAAGACATTGAAAGATAGAATGTATAAAAGTTCC